ACATATGTCCTCCTGTAGACCCATTCTCAGATGACATGCTGCTTGTTTGCAAGTCCATTTCCCCCACCAGACCAGCGGGTCTCCATCTGATCCCTTTTTGTGTCTTCAGCAAATAACACTGTACTGTATACAGTAGGTACTCAATGCTTGCTCTTTTTGAATATTCTTAAATGGCTCTCTCAAACCTTTCCCACTCTCACTCTCTAGGACTTGTGGCTTAGAGTCAGTATTATGGAAGGACTTTTCTTACTTTTCCACCCATGAGGAAATATACTGGAAGGTGAGGCTCACTGACTGCTCCTAGGGGGCCTCTGGAAACAGGCAGGAACTGAGCAGAGGGACAGAATGAGGCTAGGGACCTCTTTCCAGTCTTCATAAGTTAAGTCTGTAGTGTGCTTTCTTTTGTTTGAAGTACTATGAATTCTCAAATGAGACACACCCATATTTAAGTCTGGTCCAAATGGAAATGATTTTCAATTTATTCATTTTCAGGATTATCCAAGTTTCTGCTCATTTTTCATGTTGGTGGAAACTCCTGAACTGACTATAATTCAAAGCAATTATCATTCTTTAACTGTCAAGGTGCCCCGTTATTCTTTTCATAAATATCCTGGATGATTTGAGCCCAGTTCAAAGCAAAGTCTATTTTTTCCCTAGCCTTGTACCTTTTCACTTGCTAAATTTATAGCATTCAAATGAAAGAAAGAAAGGAAGCCCCATTTTGCCACTACTGCTAACATGATATGTTTGGGTTTTAATTGCCCTTGTAATTATACCCTTGGCCGGGTCTGCACAGGTATAGTGCAGAAATAAAACATTATGGCAAAGCCTGTAAAGCCCTTGCTTAGGTAGGAAGATGATGGCTTTGCAATATTTCCTGCCACCAGGAGAAGGAAAGAGAAAACTGAAAGGTGATCTGGAAAGTCAGAAGCTAGCCAGCAATCCATTGGGGAGCATTTTCTGACCATGCCTGCCTCTAAGACTATGTGAGCTGTAAGGCAGGGGATCCCCAGGTGGTTTGATATTGAGCTAAGGCTGGCCGGAAATGGAAGAATTTGGATCACTCGGCTGTGAATTAAGAAATAAGCACAGCAGCAAAGGGAAACATGCTATGACATTTTCTAAATATTTACCAGGGGTAGTTTCCAATTCAGTGAGTAAAGCCAGAACTGCCAGTGAATTCTCCCACCTGCCTCCTGCACCTTCCCTCCATCACCATCTCCATGCCCAAAACCAGGTGACCTCCGCCTCTTGGGGCTGTCAGAGGAATGAAGCCTCTCTGCGGTAAATGCCCCATGATGATTCCAGCATACAGGCCACTGCATTTACTTTTAGCCCCCAGACTTCTTATTTAAAGCAGAGGAGTAACCAAAGAGCTATCTGTAAAAAACAATGGAGTCAGTACAAACTACTTTTAAGGTAAAACACCTTTCCAGAGTAATTTTCAAGTAGTAATATTCATATGGTTTCAGAATCCAGTATCCATGAACTTCACTATAAAAGCAAATTTCTCATGAGCACACACAGCTTTTATTTCCATTCTTGCTCCTCCCAAGTCAATGGATGAATGGTAATATGGAGGTCAGAGGTTGTAAAAAAAATTATGAATAATGAAAAAATGCACCTTATGTCACTTTAAACCTTCCACTAATCATGTTTCCTATCTTCTCAGGTCTTGCACAGAGAGTATAGTTTTGTGTTTGATTTTGAAAATTTGAAATAACACTTTAAGATCAGTTTGGTGATTGGGTTTAGATTAAAACAGATATCTAACAGTACCAACAATTCCCTAAAGTCTTTTCTTTCCCCACTGACCCAGAAATGCTACATAATTATTTGTCTTAGACTTGTACTATCTCAAGATAGTAATACACATATCTGTTGTGTAATAATGCACATATCTGTATGCCCAACAGGCAATAGGGAGATTGTGGAGCAGTTAAGAGTTTAATGCTCACTAGTGTCTTCCCTACTGCTTATCTCTAATACTTTTTAAGATAAAAGTACTGGACATTAAAATACATCCCCTCACCATCTCCCTCAAAGGAAAGAAAACATCAGTGGTTTGCTTAGGCAGAAGTTCAGGAAATAAACCCAATATTGGCCTTGAGAGAGAGAGACAAGAAATGGGTTATAATATAAAAAGCTATGGTACATGATAAGACATGTACCATAGCTGCATATAAACTGCACATAGGTCTCACCTTTAAGTAAGTAGTATACAAACAGAAGGTTGGACTCAGTGACCTCCAAAGTCCCTTCCTACTCTAATAGTGTTTGCCTATGAATTTTTTATAGTCATTCCCTGTCCTATCACACTGTCCCCATGCATCATCAAGCCCTCCTGGCTACTTCCAGGACTGAAAGGAAAATCTGTTCTCAAAAATCCCTGCTTTGACTAGTGCCAAAATTAGAGTTCTGTCCTTGAAACATTTGCCTGAACATAATGGACAAGGCTAAATACCTCTGAAAAAATAAGTGCCCAATGCTATCCTCAGGCAATGTTTTTAAAGCTTCTCTGATATATGCAGAATTACTACCCAAAGTCTTGAGAATGAAAGATTGTGAAGCTAAGGCAATGCTATAACCAAAGCTTCCCAGTGCATACTTCTGTATCCCCTGCAGAATGTTTAACCTTAAAGAGAGGGTGGAACTGAAGAGCTGAGGTTGAATCCTGGCCCCACCTCTCATCAGTTGTGTGGTGAGCAAATTATTTAATCTCCTTGAACCTGTTTCCTCACTTGTAAAATGCTGATAATTTGAGCTACCTTGCAGAATTATTGTGACAATTAAAGTGTGTAATGTAAAAAAAAACAACTCTGAGCATTCATTTATTCATTCCCTGATTCATTCAACAAAGATTAACTGCCTGTCCACAACCAGCCAGGCACCAAGCTAGGCACTGGCATGTAAAAAATAGAAAAAAAATTGAAAGCTATTATTACTTTCATTTACCAAAAACAATCTGTTTCCTGAACTGTGACAGAACCATCAGATTTTGATCCTAGTTCAAAACTTTCATTCACAACTAATTTGCCTAAAATAGTTATTTTTAGTTTGTCAGATATGATCCCAGGAGGAAGACTGCCCCCTGCCATCCCTTCACCTACCCAAAAGCTAATCATCTGGTAGGTGTTCTGCTAAGCTGACACCTTCAGAACCCTTGGAAGAAGCAATGATCGGAGCAAAAGGTAGTATCCCAGCTCTCAGTGGGGCAAACCACTCGGGAAAACCTGATATGCCTGTGCTATGAGGTCCACCCTGGATGCCTGGGAGTTTTGGGGTGCTTTCAATTCCGCAAGTGAACTTGGAGTCTTCTGAGAACTCAGGATTAACAGGATTGGCTCATCCCTAATCATTGTGACTGGGCCACTGATAAAGTTAAGAGCAACAGTTAAGTGATCTAAAGGCCATATTTTCACAATGTAGGGTTTATGTCTTTTACCTGTGCTTTATTCTAGAGTTGATAAAGCTCTACATAAATGACCCACCTCTGAAAAGTCAGTTGTTTTCAAGGATGGTGGGCTCTACCGCAATGTGAGCCTAATATTCCTTTTCCTGACTTGCCCACAGCCTCCGGACAGATACAAGCCTACCTGTGTTGGATTCTGGGCATTCAGTACACTTAAACATTTTGCACTTACAAAAAAGTTTTCAAATACAGTCTGGAACCTAGGGCTCCTGGCAGAAGACTAAAGTTCAATTCAGAAAGAGGAAATGACCTGCCCTGGGTCAGAGGGTGGTCAAAGAGGGAATGCTAGAATAAAATTTGGAACCATCTGTGAAGCTAAGGACAGGTTAATGGAGAGTATAGAGGTGACTAAAATTTATTTACAGATGCCTCTCAATCAGGAGCCACCTGAATCACTTTCCTTAGAAACTGAAATACAGATACCACTATCTCAAGGCTATGGATTTTGCATGGCTGCCTCCTACCTGGAGATTACAGCCTAGCCTCTCCTCACAGTTCTCCGTATGAGAATACTGTCACTATATTCCTCCCATCCCCATCTGATGCATCTAATTTTTTCTTAAGTGACTTTTCATTTCTCTTCAGCCAGTTAAGCGTGTTATTATTAACTCCTGGCGCCTCTAATTGCTCACTGAAAACAGTGATTTGGATATTAATAGGCTATAAATCAAGACCCTACCTGGGGCTGGTTGTCAAAGAAACAGTACTCAGCCCCGCAGCTACTTCCCCACCCTTGGAAGTCTGGGCGAGTTGGTGGGAGCTGGGAATTGTTTTAAAGATCCTGTTATTCTTCAACTTTATGTTATTTCTCATGGCCAAATTGTTGAAGAAATAGGAGCTGGTGAGGCCAGTGAGGGTAGAAGGGACTGTAGCAGCTTAAAGGAGAACTCTGGGAGAGGAAAGGTTGAGGGTCCTTGAAGTATGGCTTGGGCACTCATCTTTCCTCTTTGGGTCTGCACCTGGCCATTCTCTCCGCGTCGTGCCCATCGCCCGGAGGGGCCGGGCCCCTTCCGCTGCTCTGCCCGCCCTCCCTGGCTCTGGGCTGCCCGGGGAGCGCGCGGACAAGTTCCCCAGAAGAGAATCTGAGCGGACAGGGCTGAGAAAACTGGCAGCGGGAGGCAGAGGGAGCAGGGTGAGGTCCCACAGGCTAGAAGCAGAACCCATATCCCCTGCGCCGGGGTTCTGGAGGGGTCCGGGACCAGAACACGCACCCCCCGCACCCCAACCGTCCTCTCAGCGCCCCCGGGCGACGCTCCAGGACCTGGCTCCCCAAAGCAAGCGCCCAGCTCTCCAAGCGTCCCCGAAGACCGCACGGATTCCCGCGCCCCGGGATGTTTGCTGCCGCAGCCGCCAGGGCCTCCCGGGCCCCACGCCCAGCACCTGCGGCTGGCCCCCTCCCGGTCCCCCGGGCCCCGCGCGTCACGCGCCCCCTGGGCCCAGCGCCTCCTCGGCGCGCCGTGCGCCCCAGTCTCTCGCGTCCGCACCCGCACCCAGCACCCTCGGGCAGCCGGGCCCTGCAGGGACTCACCTGCCCTGGGGCTGTAGCAGCGGCCACCCCGAGCCCGGGGGCGGCAAAGGCGGCGCAGGGGAAAGAGGGCAGCGCGGGGCTCCTGGCACAGCGGCCGCCGGGCGCCTGGTGCTGCCGAGCCGCGGACCCGCCCAGAGATATAAATAACATTATCTGAGGAGGGACATTCCTGCCGGGGGACATCGCTGCTGCCGGGACCAGATAGTCCCGCGGCGGGGGCGGGGAGGCGGGGCTGCAGCCTCCCGCAGCGCCAGGCCCAGCCCCCGCCTTCCCCACCCACTCCCGCACCTGCCAATCAGCCTCCGTGCTCGGGGACACCTGCCAGGCCTCCGCCAGGCTCCCTGGACCGGCCTCCGTCTCCTGGCTGGACGCCTGGGCCCGGGACGCCAAAAGCCCAAGCCGTCCGCAGCGCCCTCATCGTCGATCACCTCCCCTAACCATTTGCTACCCCGAGGCCCCTGCGGCGGGAGAAGGGTTTGACTCTGCTGCTCGGGCCTAATTTGTGCGCCCGGAGCAAGTAGCCTGCTACGAAAATGGGCTCCCCAGTCTTTCCCGCCCTGCGTCCCCACTGTGCGGTCAGTTTTTAATACGTTAAAAGGCACGCTTAGGCCATAGCGTGGGAGAGGCCAGCGCCGAGTAGTGCGCCCCCACTCCCGAGGGTTCGGGAAGAACAGATTGTTCCCCGGGGCTGGTGTGTTGGAAAGCACGCTCCCGGGTGGGCTTCGCCTAGCGGGCGGTCATTGCAGACGTTAGGAGGGCGTGGGTGGGTATTGGGTCGGAGGCCTCTGCCCCAGTCTGCGGACTCGGTGTCACTATTTCTGTCTGCAAACCTCGTACTGTCGGGGCAGACTCGGCAATGCTGGCTGGCTGCAGCCCGCAGTCCCACGGTGCTCACACATTGCAGGGGGTCTGTATTCAAAAGGCAAGCTGCCTCACCAGCCCACCCGCACCTTCTGGCGCTCCTGGCTTCCAGGCGGGCAGGAGCTTCCTCACTGCATGCCTGGGTAGGGTAGGACGCAGTAGGCCATAGAAAACACTAGGACCAATGGTGCCAAACAGAAAAGACAGGCACCTCCGAGTCACCTCGAGAGAGACTCACAGAACATGGACAGCTTGCAAGGCTATTTTCTTGACTTCTTACAATACAAGGTCATTGTCCAATAAGGCTTGGGGTTATGCCTTGCTGTAGTTCTTTCATCTCTTTTCTCCACCCACCGCGCACGGGATGGTTTCTCACCAGTCATCAGCCCAGGTATTATGGTAATCTCAGAGATGGCAGAGGAGCTTAAAAGGGCAAAGACGTAGAAAAGAGTTTTAACTTTGATGCTGCCTGGTATTCTTAGCAACAGCAGTCTTACTCCTGGGTTATTTGCTTGGAAGTATAATTATGCAGTTTTCCAGGATTCACCAGGAAAAGGGGATTTAATTGCCAGATGTACGTGCTTAGTTTACATATTGAGCATATGCAAAGATATTTCACTTCCTGCTGCAGCCATACTTCTTGAGAGGGGCATTTAGACCCTGAGATGTGCTAAGTGGGGCAGACTGCAGATACTACAAAGTCACAGAATTCACCCCACTCTGGTGTTGCCTTTCTCCTTACTAAGTTCAGTCTAAGAGACACCAGAATATAGGGAAGATGATAGAGGATTATTTGAGGTCATCCATTAGATTAGTAGTGATCCATCCCTTGTGCCACCCTGTCTGATAATATTTAAGCATCCACTTATCACTGAGTTAGAAACAGAAACATCTTTTTCATTAAAAAAATTATTTAAGAACCAAATTCTGGCAAGGAAAACCCAAGAAAAACAGGCCAACTTCAAAATCTGGGACTATCATATGTTTAAAGTAGAAATCCATGATTTATTTTTGAAAGAAAAAAATAGGGAGAAATTATATATTTATTTTTTAAACACCTTGTATGAATAAACTTATTAAATAAATTAATGATTCCCTAGAATTGCAGCTCTGTAGGTACCTAATTACATGCTATGTGAAACAGGTAATTCCTTAGCTATAGGTTTGTGGCACTGGACTGAAAAGTTGCACATGTATTTCCTTGTAGTCTAAAAATTTACAATTTCAACCACAAGAAATTTATAATTTTAACCATATGATAAAAGCACCAATCAGTGGATAGATTACCCCAGGATTTTACAAACCAGCTCAGCTACTTTAGTTATCTCCACTTCAGCTGGAAGCTAAATAATTCAATATAGCCTCATTTGCTACAGAGCCTGTTATCCTGACAGCATCCCCAAATGCTTTACAGCTAATAGAGTTACAGTAAGATGATAAATCAAAACTGAGGGATAAGAGGAAGTTTAGAAGTACAGAGGAAAAGGGCACTGTCAAATAAAGAGGAAAAAAATGGAGAGTGGAATGAGAAATTGGGGACAGTGAAATAGACAATAAGAAGGAAAAGCTGATACAAAGGTTCATAATTAAGCTTATTGTTGTGGGCAACAAAGATTAAGTCTGCAGGGATTTCCTGAGAAGAGGATGAATGCCTCCCAGAATTGTCTGAAAAGTGGGAGATTGACCCTGATCCTGGTTGGTCAAGAAGGCTGCCTTCCCCTTCCACGTCCCATCCACGTTGACATTCCACACATTCAAGCTATCCAGGAAGCTACCAACAGGCAATGTGCAGTTCTGGAGCCAGAAGGAAAGGTGTGCATTTGAGATTAGGTGCTGTCAGCTAGGAAGTCAAGGGAAGCCCTCACAGAAGTGTCTACCCAGCTCTAGCTATAATCAATAGGTGAGTCCAAGAGGATATAAATTGGAGCATTAAAAGAATCTGACACAAGGGGGAACTTTGACTTCCTATTCTATAATTCTTTTTTTTTTTTTCAAGCTTAGAGCCAGCCCTACCTCTGGACATTTTATTTTTTATTTTTATTGAAGTATTTTAATATACAATCGTATCTTGGTTTCAAATATACAACACAGTGGTTCAACAGTTACCCATATTCTCTTAATTTTTCACATTGAGGCTTGTGTTATTTGATAATCAGTAGAGATAATAAAGAAAATAATAGGTAGAGATTGGATCAAGATGGTGGATTGAGAACATGCATTTACCCTCTTTTCCATCACAAACCTCATAAAAAGAGATGTCTTAAAAGAATCTAACAACACAGGGAAATAAAAAGGGTGATCAATTTTCCAAGAATTTTTAGGAAATCCTGAAATATAGAAAAGAGATAGGATCTGATCTAGAGAGAGAAAAAAAAAGGAGAGAGGAAACCAAAATAGGTTGGAGAGAAGGAACAGTTTAAGGAAGTTCTAAGCAAGAGTTAAAGGATACAAGAAGTGGAAGGGGCAGAATAATTCATTGAGGAGCCTCCTTTTCCTCCACTGGCATTATCAGAAGTTTGCCTGTGAGATAAAGAAGTTAGTGTGGAACCTGGGACCAGAGGGCAGAGCCCAGGTACCTACTGACCCCCAGAAATGACAGGGAGCCTTCACTCTCTAGAGATAGCATGTTGTGCCTTTCCTTCACAGCCCTTAAGAGAGGCTGTGATAAACAGAATAGGCAGGCAAACAGATTTTCAAAAAGATGATCAATTAAAATCACCGAATTTTGTTGGGGAGGGAAACCAATACCATGAAAGAGAAGCGTGAAACTCAACTAACAGAAAGAAGTAATCTCAGAGGGAACTAAGTTAAAGAAAACAGAAACTAAGTTAATAAAGGAATTTTAAAATGAATTTAAATTTTATTCAGCAAGATTTAAAAGGGGAGTGCATCCGTAAGAAATAATCAGTGAGAAAACACAGAAATTTAAAAGGTAGTTTCCGAAATTGAAAATTCATTAACTGATAAGCAGAACTAATCAAATTAAAGAGCAAATTCGATGAAATAAGGCAGAGAAAGACAAATGCCAAATGATTTCCCTCATTTGAGGAGTATAACAACGAAGCAAAACTGAAGGAATAAAACAGCAGCAGACTCACAGACTCCAAGAAAGGACTAGGTTACCAAAGGGGAGGGGTGGGGAGGATGGGTGGGGAGGAAGGGAGAAAAGGATTGAGGGGTATTATCATTAGTACACATGGTGTAGGGGGGACCATGGGAAAGACAGTGTAGCACAGAGAAGACAAGCAGTGTCTCTGTGGCATCTTCCTACATTGATGGACAGTGACTGTAATGGGATATGGGGTGAACTCGATAATATGCATGAATGTAGTAACCACATTGTTTTTCATGTGAAACTTCATAAGAGTGTATATCAATGATATCTTGATATCTTAATAAAAAAATAAAAAATTAAATAAAAAAATTAAACAGCAAATTAATGGAGGCAGAAATTCTCCCCAAACACAGGGCAAAAAACAAGGAAATGGCAAGTTCATGAATGGTTCACAGCCATGGGAAGAGAGACCTTAAGGTCCAATATCTGTCTAATAGAAGTTACAAAAGGAAAGGTAAGACAGGGTAGAAGAGATAATAATGAGAAAGCAGAGAAAAATTTCCCAAAGTTGAATAAAAATATGAATTTTCAGATTATAAAACCCTACTGAGTTTAGAGCAGGATGAAGATTTTTTAAAATACAGTTTACAGTTTTGTCTACAGTTTAAAGTTTATAATTTTACTTAAAAGATCCAGAAACTTAAAAAAATTAATTCAAAAATAAAAAACTGTAATGAACTAGACTAACTTGCTGTGCCATGAATTAAATTCGTCCTAAAAACTTTTTACAAGTTATTTGTTTGAACCTTAAAAACTGTTTGACTTAGAAATGAACATACACATTAGAAAGCTACTTAAAAATGGAAATACCAAATCAAATAAACATGAGCCCACTTGATGTGCCACCATTCAAATCCTGCTGACAATGGAGGAACCAAGAACTCATGGTAATGTACAGAGAACTTCAAAAGAGTGCCTGGAGCTCTTCTTTACCCTTTCACCACGAGAAGCATTTCATGAAACTACGCTGAAATTTCCATTCCATTTCTGGAAACATCTATGGGACCCATGCCCTCTGTGACTCCCAAAGACAAAGCAGCAACAGGACCAATAGGGAAAGCCTTCCATTTATAGTGCAGAAGGGCTGAGGGTGAAAGACCAAACTTCCCCTTCAGTGGCCTCAAGCAGATTGGTCACAGTGAAACCCAAAAGCTTTCAGCAAGTGTACAAATACCAGACTGACCACCCTCTGAAGGAGCCGGTGACACCAGTTTCAGTTTCCCTCTAGTAATATATAACG